CAAAAAAGCCTGCCATATTCTTTTAAATAAGCATTATTGAGAGCAGCTGGATGTATTCTTGATACCGTGCTACCAGGTTCTTCGCACTTTATTTAAATAGACCTTGAGCTGGAAGGCACTAGAGCGGTCATAACCATTGTCTGGTTCATCTGCTCAGGATTATGTTTAACCTTCAGCTCATTGACAACTTAAATAGGTATCTTGGATCCTTAAGTCATTAAGATTTGTTCCATGAGTATATTCCATTTGGCTGTCATTTTCTGCTGGCAAAGAGAATGTTTTGAATTGTTTCTTTTTCTGTTTCCTTTCAAGGTAAACTATCTCTTGAAGAGTTTATTAAAGGTGCCAAGAGTGATCCGTCTATTGTGCGATTGTTACAGTGTGATCCAAGCAGTGCAAGTCAGTTCTAATTAAACTCTGGACAGTTTGCAAAGAAAATTACTGGCTTGTTCCAGCTTTGCTCGTATATGGATGCCTTCTCAACCATTCCTCTGTGACTAGTGGACGTGGCTTCGCTGCCAGATTGTGTGTGAAAGAGAGCCTCACTTCTCTACCAACATTGATGCAACGTCTCTCCTCCTTCCACCACTTCATTTCCCCCCTCTCCCCATAACCTTATGGATCACTCTATACATTTAACGTAAGAGGATGTTTACATGCAGATTGAAGTTATTGCACATCACTTGGGTAATATCGGTGAATTACTTTCCAGTACCCCCTAAGAAGAAATAATGCTGCGTGTACCTTTTTGCCTGGCACAGCAGTGGCAAAGCACAGGCAGATTTCATGTGCTTACCAGAAAATGGCTATGAAATGTGGAATAAATTGAGTAGAGGTTTTTTTAAGAGCATGATATCAGTTTCCTTTCTATGAGGAATATTGCTTGCACTTATGTAAAGGTCTTTCCATTCTTTTAAATATAAATATACATAAACTATATATATATGGTGAAGTAAAATTTTAATATCTAGGTCATATTTAATATATCATGTAGAACTCATGCTTTATTTCTTCTAGTTGCCTGTGATTATTCATTTTTTATTAAAAAAAACCATGATATTTATGCATAGCAGAGTTGCCATTAAGGCATTGCACGACTAGCTGCTTGTGGATATGACACTGTTTTAATTACCAGTTGCAACACTTGGTTCATTTTTACTGTTGATTGTTGATGAATGTTTTACTGTGTTTATGAAGTCTTTTTAAAAAGAGCCCTTCTACTTCTGTGTTTCTTGGTGAAGCGCCACGTGCGGTGGATGCAGCGTTTGACATGGCTTTTGAGTGAGGTGAGGTGATTTGACATGCATTTGTTATGACCCTCCTCCCTTGTGGCTGTCCATCTCTGTTAATAGTCTCGTGCATTCTGGTGTTATTTAATATCTGCCTAACGCCAATAAATGTTAATTGAAATACATACTCATTTTCTTGTCAGTCTGCGTTATATTTCAGTCACCTTAACTCTTCAGGGACCGCACATAGCACAGTGGCTTTGGAGAAAGCAAGAAATGCAAGGTCTTTCCATTCTTTTAAATATAAATATAAATATACATATATTTGCTCCGTGACGATTTTGCAAAAGGAGTGCGTGGGTGGATTTATCCATTCCTCCGCAGATCTTAAGAGTCGGTGTGTGGCAAGTAGATGAGCCAAGGCTCTGTCCTCTTTCCTTACCTGGAGTAAGGATAAACAGGACTCCTGAAGCGCAGCCCTTTTCTTCATGGCTAATAACAGCAAGGCAAGGAGGGGACTGGAGGGGTGGTGGTGTGGAAAGTTAAGGCACAGGTTTTACTCATTCTACAGCCCAACGGTAACGATTGTGTGCCATCAGGTCAATTCTGACTTATGGGGACCCTTTTTGGGTAGACAGTACTCAGAACTGGCTTTCCCATTCCCTTCTTCTGGGGGTGCCCTGGGACTGTGCAGCTTTTGCCCAAAGCCACACAGGCTGGCTCTCCTCCCAGGAGACATGGTGGAAATCAGACTCCTAACCTCTGGCTCTGCACCCAGATACTTAATTCACTGAGCTCTCCAGCCAGCAGCTCTGAAACCTAAGGATGTAAGAAAGGCTTACTGGGGTGTGTGTGTGTGTGTGTGTGTGTTTAATCCTTGATGGAAAGTGTCTTGACACACATCAAAATTCACCCTGAAAAAAAAAATAGCTGCTGGCAGGTTGGTTTATTTATTTATTTTATTTATTTTGATTTTATTTATTTATTAGATTTATATACTGCCCATCTAGAACCTGTCGGATACAAGCAAAAAGACCAGCTCCTGAGACATCATTTAATACAGGATCTTCCCAAAAACTTCTTAAGTAAAGTTTTTGAGAGAGAAAGTCCCAGAGTGTTAAAAGTGCCCAGTAACGGTGATAACCTCACCTAGTGGAGATAAAAACGTTGAGTTTCTGCCTAGAGTTAGAGAATTAGATCATAAGTTCAAAGACTTTCTCCGGCCAATAACTAGTGTCCTATCTGAATTCCTACAACATTCTGTGTAATTGTGCTAAGTTAATAAAAAGAGTTCTCAAGGGGTTGTTTTAAGCTCCGCTGGCTCGGACATCTGTGGTCGACTCTTCTTTGTAATTTCTCTCAAGGCTAATTGCCTTCTCTTTGTTCTGTGATCACCTACACCTTATAAAGTTTCTCTTGTAGATGCATGCTAAAACATCCTGATGCTACAGTCCCAAGCATGTTTGCTAACATTTAGCACCACTGTGACTGGTTGAATTTGCTTCTGAGTCCATATGATTAGAACTGCTTTCATGGACTGTGCCTGATGAACCAAGTTCTTGGCTACAGAAGCTACTTCAACATTTTTGTGCTTTATTCTTCAGACACAGATTTTGAGCTCCAATGTATACCATGAAGGAGGTAATAGTGCTTCTAGTCCAAGGCAAATGAGCTGGACTGGAGTCACCCTTTTCGCTCGGAAGAATTTTCTCCCTGGCTGAGTAAGGACAAAAATAATCTTCATTTATTCCTGCTTCCCTCTCCTGTTTCTGAAAAAAATTGCTCCAGAGGCTTGGGAGCTCCTCCAAGCAGTGGGGAGAGATGATGCTAGGGGCTACAAAGAGAAAGATAACAGACAAAAATTGCTCCACTTTTCATCCAGTTTTGATTGGAAGTCATGCCAGGTTTCTCCTGTTAAATCTCTTCCTGTGGTTACAATATTGGCATTTAATTTAATTTCATTTTTCAGTACATTTTTAATATCTTTCTAAGGTTGGATTTGTGTTTGCTTTCCTTCCTTAAAACCCAGAAGAAAATGCTTCATGGTCTCTTTTGTCACATGTTCCCCTCTGGGGAAAGCAGCCTTGCCTTTCCATTGCTTTTTAATCCACTCAAGTGTATACACAAGAACAACATGTAAGCATTCCTTCATCAAAAGCCTCCAAAAAGTCTGTGATGAAGATACACAAAGGCAAAATCTACAACTCCAGCCCCATCTGCAGGAAATTAGTTTATAAAATAGTGCAAAATTAAAGAAATCCACAAAGCCTTCCTTTTCTCTTTCAAGCCTCTCATAAGATGCTCTTGGAAAGTGGTGGTTTTAAAGAGGCAGAGGCCACTACCGCCACTTCACCAAAAGTCACTGCAGTAAAATAGATATATATTTACATTTGTTCATTTACAAATGTCATCAGCAGAAGTAGTAAACAGCTGACGGATTTTGTAAGTAACTGAACCTGCCCAGCAGTCTCCTCCGTACTTTGTGTAACAAAGGAAATCTGTTCTCTGCTGCAGGATGGTGCTATATAAACTCAGGGTGTGCATTCAGAGTTGAAAGCATTTGGAATTCACCAAATAGTGCCATATTTGGATCGTTCCAAATACACAGTAGGACTCCCTTACCCACAGGATCACTATCTGCTGATTCACATATCCACAGTCAGAAAAATCCCCCAAATATATACAGTGGGTGCCTTGCTTAAGGGTGCCCCGTTTAACGACGAAATCGCATACCGACGAACTTTTTGCAATCGCATTGCAATGTTTGAAATGGGGAAAAATCGATTTGCGATGATCGGTACCCTGTTTCACTTACTGATTATCGCAAAGCAATGATTTCCCCCCAGCTGATCGGCGGTTCCAAAATGGCCACTGGGTTAAAAAAAATGGCCACCCGCTGTGTTTAGGGACGAATTCCTCACTTACCGGGCAGTGAAAATGGCTGCCATATGGAGGATCTTCGCTTAAAGGTCAGTTTTAAGCCCATAGGAACGCATTGAAGGGGTTTCAATGCATTCCTATGGGCTTTTTAAAATCGCATAAAGATGAAATCGCTTTGCAGCGAATTTTGCTGCACCGATTAACGTGGCTATTTGAGGCACCACTGTATATATTTCTAATGATGAAGTTACAGTGGGCACTTTTTCAGAAGCACTGTGGTCACCCTGCCATCCAGCTGCACTTGCTCCACCAGTTGCTAGAAGTTGTAGTGATGACAAGGTCGCCATCCCTGTTTGGAACATGCAGTCAAAAACTCAAGCTCTCCATAACCAGACCTGAAAACAGACTGAACAGCATATAGATAATCTGTATCATCCAGGAACCTCTAGAGCTGGGATTTCACTAGACACTGCAAAAATTTGCCCAAAAATGGAATATTGGAGACAATATGCTGATAATTATCCAACACAGTGGGGTTCAAAGAGGGCTTTTTTAAAAAAACAAAGGTCTTACTACTGCCTCCTTAAGACATTCTGGGATCTTATTGCAAAGAGGCATTCACTGCTTCTTTAGCCCTCTCTGCCAGTCCCCCTCTGGCTGCTTTTTATAAGCCAAAAAGGGCAAGGATCCAGCATCCATGTGGCGGCTTTTACCTCTCCAGAGATCCTGTCCCCATCCTCAGGTTGCATCAACTCAAACATATCCATTAAAACAGGACACATAGGGATGAAGTTCCACCAACAGGACCTGTGTCAACTACAGCATCTGTCTGCAAAGGGCTGTGCAGACTCTTCACAGCAGGTTGTCGATTGGTCATCATTCTTCTCTTATGGCCATCTGTGCAACAGGGCTTTGACCACCTGAAAGAGCTCCACTGGACAGTTCTATGCAGAATGCAATGGTGAATAATTTCTTCTTCGCAACCACTGCTGCCCCAGAATAAGATTTCCAACGAGTTCCCGTGTTCAATCACATCTGCTCTTGAGTTTTCTGCCATTGTTGCTCTAGTGTCTCCATCCCACTTGGTTCATCATCCCCATCTCCCTAGTAGACGGACTACACTCTGTGGGAGTGGATACTTAGGAGCGATCATGTCAAGAACCTTGGCCATGTCTGCATTCCAGAGACGCACCAAAGCCTCAACAGGATCTGCCAGGACAGCTGGAAACTCCCCAAGAGCCATCAGGAAACTATTTGGATCCGTCAGTCTCCTATGGTGGGCACTTTTAGTTGACTATCCACCTCGGCAGAGGCTCAAGGTTCCAATGAACCTAAACCTGTCCCAGGTAGTGATCTGCCCATGAAAACAGAACTACTGAGAGTTCCTCCACAGCCAGACCACCACGATCCTGCCCAGTACAGAAAGCCAGGTCAAGAATGTGCTCTTCAACATGAGTGGGGCCAGATACCAATTGGGACAGCTCAATGGTCATCATGGTAGACATGAAGTCCTGAGCCTGTCCTGATAAATTGGTCTCTGTGTGGGATGTTGAAGTCCCCCCGCACAACAAGCCAAGGTGACTGCGGCACCACACCTGAGATCAGCTCAGCCAGCTCAGGCAGGGAGACCCCTGTTGCAGCAGGATGGGCAGTACACCAACAGAATCCCACCTGATGAGGACTGAATCTCAGTAAACGACTGCAACTCCTCCTCCCCATCTGCCAGGTCTGCCCTGTTGCCGCCCAGGTGGACAAACCTGAGAAAGATGAACACACACACACCCCAGCTTCATCCAACTGAGTCTTTATAATGCAAGCCAGGTCAGCATGTTCATCCAGGATCAAATCCTAGATATTAGCAATCTTTTCTTTCTGAATTGTCCTTTAGCAACAGCCCCTTCAAACCAGGGGGTTTGCCATCAAGGCTATCCAGGCCATTAGATCTGGGAGACCGTTTGGTGGTAGCAACCAGCACTCTGTTTTCTCCCCTTCTCCCCTGGTGTAGTTGATGAACCCCCCACCTCTGTAGCTCCCCCGTGCCCTCTTTAACTGCCCTGGTTACCCCATGCACACACAAACACCCAATGTCTCCTCTCCTTTGAACACAGATCCCTCCTCAATGGCCAAAGTCATGAGCACAGCAAAGAGAAAGTCAAGCAGGTACAGGAGGGAGTCAGTCAGTCAGTCTCCTCTTCTTTACCGTTTTCTGTCTCTCAACACCCCTCCCCCCAACTACACTTCCGAGGCACTCTAACCCCCCCCAAACAAATGACGAAATCATAGGAGAGGAAAAAAATCAGGGAGAAAAGAGCAAAGCAGCTG